CTGTGTAAATTTAATGTGGCAACCTTGAATTGCTATGTTCAATGTGTCTGTGTTTCATTTAAATTCAACATAATAAATGGGACTTTCTAATTTTCTTCACAGCTGATTGATGATGAAAAAAAGGCCCTGAACCGATATCATGTCCTGTTTGTTCTAAGAGCGTTTTATTTTGCAGAGGAAGTTAGGGCTATGGGTCGTGCATTTCATAAACAATGCTTTAAATGCTGTGAGTATATGGTGTATGGCTGACCTTTATTATAGGTCAGTGTTCTAAAAGTTTGGACAGCTTTACTGCGAACGACCACAAGGGTTCTTTGTACTGCAAAGTTGCTATGCAAAGAACTATGGACCAAACATATATGGCTTTTCAACTAATGGTACGTTAGGTAGGAGTACGTATGATCTTCGGTAAGTGGATTTTTTATTTTCAATTACACTGGTATTTAAATATTTGAACTTTTGACTTAGGTTTCAAATATAAGTTACTTCTGATAACGACCATTATTGACATAATTCAAATCTTGATCTTCTGCTTTAAGTTACTTCGCTGTCGTAGTAGGCTGATTCATAAATATGTTATTACATTCACTTTATTCATTAATTTAGTAAATAAAAACCTACATTGTTGTTTAATGCAAACTCACATTTGTATGATATTGTGTCTTGTGAGGGGTTTTGAAAAATAGTCTGATTACTTTAACGTCAGTCAGTCAGATGCCAACGTTTAACTTCGTACGTAAGTAGGTTTCTAAAATACTCAATAATTAAACGTTTTTTATTTTGCTGACCCACTGTTCTTATGACAGAATTAAATGGCAATACAAAGCTAAAAACCAGAGAAATAAACTATGCAATTCAAAGGAACTTGAATGTCGAAATAAGCAATTGTAAAGCTCACCATTTGAAAAGTCAATATTAATATTATTCAGTACATACCTTACAAGTAATGTGCTCAAAGCATATGGATCTTTGATACTAGTATTATGTATCATTCATCATCTGTCTGTTTATGTCATCATGGTGATCAATAATTAATATGCCTAGTGTATATACTTTAGAATCATGTAATTTAAACTGATAGTTTGTTGGTAGCATTTTGAAAAGTTTATGGAGTGAATAAATGATTTATTGCAAAGTTTCAGTGTGAATAGTTTGACATAACCTCAGACTAATATGGCTAACATATCACTGAATCTTGAAACAAATAAGTAAGGTGACCACTCCAGGTCTTCCTAATTAGTAACCAATCAACATTTCAAACTTTCTCGTCTTGAGTTTATAGCTTTCCTATAACATTCACTTGTTATAAACTAAAAAAAACCGTGTTTACAAGAACGCTCACACAGAATTATTTGGGAAAAACTTAAATTTGATACCTCAAAATAGAATTATTTTTGTTAAGATTGTTAATATATTTATAATTCAAAGATAATAGAGCATTTACAAATGCATGTAAATTTAAGGTTTTATAAATTGCTGACAGAAATGACGTCCACGCACTGCTTATAGCACTAATCACTTGCAAACTTAGTTCTCATAATCCATAGTCATGTCATTTTGATAATTATGTCATCACAGTGATTATATATGATCACAATTAGATTGATTCTATTTTACTAAATTGGATATGAAAGATTTCACTTGCCGCAAGATGTTAGTAATCGATGGTTTGAGAGCCTGAATGACATGGCTCAAAACCGTTTGCAATGGATTTTGTATTCTCTCAAATCCTAAACTTTTTAATTCTTCATCACTTTATCTTTATCTTTTTAAGTTTATTTCACTAGATTCTACTTCTTGAATAATATTTTCTAATTCTCATTTCTCCAACTACTGATAATACCTTTACCAATCGGGTGCTATGTAAGAATGGCAGATCAATAGACGCAGTAGTGACACTTCATCAGTTGAGGTGTTTGGGACATGTGTTGCGTATGCCCAACCACTGACTGCCTCGTCGAGCTTTGTTTTGTAGTGTAGGAATAGGTTGGAAGAAAGTTAGGGGCGGCCAAACCAAAACATGGCAGAAATCCATGAAGTCATTGACAAGTGGACTTAGCCATGTCGGTAGTTGTAAGCTACCTGGTTGGGGTCCGCGAGCTGATAATAATCGATGGTTAAAGACCTTGAACAACGACATGACTCAAAATCGTTTACAATGGCGCCCGTCCATTTATTCTTTGTGCTCTCTCAAATCCTAATCTTCTGGATTCTTCAACCCCTCTAGTTTTGACTTTCTAAACACTTTTCTCACTGAATCATACTTCTTCAATAATATCTTCTAATCCTAACCTCTCCAATTACTCCTAATACCTTTACTACCTCTACTATTACTATATGATTTGAATTGACAATCGCATCTCTGTGCTAATGTGGTATGACAACATGAACTGATGTACTTACGTACGACGTTCTACGTTACAACTGACTGACTGACTGACTGAATACCTTTATCACCTCTACTACTACGGGATTCGCATTGACAATTACGTCTCTATACTAATGTGGTATGGCAACATGAACTGATGTACGTACGTAAGAAGTTCTACGCTGCTATTGACTGATTGATTGGTTGATTGATCGGATATGGTGGAGTAATTGAGATGTAATTGATACACAAAGTCAAAGGAATAGTTTATCGACTGTTGACATAGAAGTTAGATGACTATATATAAAGCTTTAATGAAAAAAAATAATAGTAATCAGTTTCATTGACTTGAAGGTTAATAAATTACAATATCCAATTACCATGATTCTCATCAACAATTAATGAATATGATTTTATGTTTTATTAAAAAGGAAATGTTTTCTAAATTGCAGAACAGTAGAGTTAAAATAGTTGCAACTTTGTTCATTTTCTTTAAGTTTAAGCATAAGGAACACAGGAATTTTCAGAGTAGTATGAATCTCGTTTATTTATCAAACATTTTGTTTAATTCGATGGGAAATATTGAACTATGAACTGTTAAATATTTAGTTTAAAGTAGTTGATATGTAACATTGCTCACTTTACGTTTCTTGTTAGTACATATCCTTCAGGAAAATGTTTATGCAATTTTGAGGAAATTGATAATCCATGTAAAATTCTCAAATGTGTTCTTAGTTGTGCAAACTGTAGAGGATACGATAAATTGTGGCTTAAACTTTCTCTTTTCAAGGCTGGATGTTTAGACAAAGAATTTACCTTTTATCTTAATGAGAAATAAAAATAACACTAACAACTTCGGTTAATTTAGACGTCCGACAATAGTTGTGTTCCTGTACCTAAAAGTGGCATTTGATCAGTGGATCGTGAGGCTGCGTGGCAGTGTTTGTCATTGAAAGGTGTGCCAAAGAAGTACATTAACCTTATAGAAGCACTGTACTGGAACACTACTACTCAAGTGAGAGCTTATGGCGAACAGTCAACTGAATTGTGTACATCAATTGGTGTCCGTCAGGGATTTCCACTCTCTCCTTTCTTGTTTAACTTTGTCGTAGACATCTTCTTAGAGTTAACATTAAGCTCGTCAGATTTTTCAGGGGTTGACCTTCTACCAGGAAAATCGCTTACTGACAGAATATGCCGATGACACATGAACTTGTGATAGGGAGTGAAGCCGTTGAGCGTGTCGACCTCTTCACTTATCTGGGGAGTCTCATCAGCGCTGATTGCCTGGTGACTGGATGGATACAGAAGGCACGATTGACTTTTGCCAACTTACGTCACTCATGACCTAGGCCAGATATCCGTTTGCTAACCGGAGGACGAGTGTACTACGCAGCAGTTCGGTCCGTCCTACTATACGGATGCGAAACATGGCCGGTGACAGTAGAGGATATTCGTAGGTTACTGGTTTTCGATCATAGGTGTCTCCGAAGCATTGCTCGTGTATCCTGGAACAACCGAGTAAGCAACACCGTCAATGAGGAAACGAGTACTAGGTACGGATGACCAATCAATAGATGAAGTGGTGAAACTTCACCAGTTGAGGTGGTTGGGTCACGTGTTACTTATGTCCAACCACCGACTGCCTCGACGAACTTTGTTTTGTAGTGTAGGAGTAGGTTGGAAGAAAGCTGGAGACGGCCAGACCAAAGCATGGCACAAATTCGTGAAGTCACTGACGACTGGATTGAGTCATGTTGGTAGATGTAGGCTATCTGGTTGGGGTCCGCGAGACGAAAGTCACCAATGGTTAGAGACCTTGAACGACATGGCTGAGAATCGTTTGCAATGGCGCAAGTGCATCCATTCTTTGTGCTCTCTCAAATCCTAATCTTCTGGATTCGTCAGCACCTCTACCTTTGTCTCTCTAACCTTATCTCACTGAATTCTACTTCTTGAATAATATCTTCAAACCACCCTAGTCTTCTTCATTAGCATTAATACCTATACACTATCTTTATCACTATGGGATTTGATTTGACATTTGCATCTCTGTGTGCTAATGTGGTATGGCAACATGAACTTATATACATACGTACGAAGTTGTACGTTGCAACTGACGGACTGACTGTGTTTTCTGTTGTAACCCAAGTTGGTGCTAAACTATCTTCTGTCACTTCTCTTCTAATCTCCAAAATAGTCCAAACACACGGTGCTTTTGACCTCCTCAAACTCTTGGCGTCGATTGTTGATTGTGCCAACCTCCATACAACAACTCCTCGCTACATACCACTACGTTATGAACAACCTTGTAAAATGGCATCCACTATCTTGTTTTTTAAAATTAATAACTTCTACACGTCTTTACAGATCATCCTTTCATATATAATGTATATTACTCTTCTATCTCCATTGTTTCTTTTCCCGCTCATTATTTCTACAGAGATTGTACCAAACTGAATGGTTATACACATTCCCATAGTCCAATGATAAAGTAAGTCTTCTTCTCTCTTATATTGATTGGTGGTGTTTGCTGTTGTTGTTGTTGTTGTGATTTGTTAAAATCAATTGAACATTGAACACTCACTGTTTATTTTGTTTGTCTTTGTCTTTGTTATTGATCATATTCTAGTCAATCACATGACTATCATCATCATCCACAACAACAAGAACGTTCATCAAATTGGGAAACTAGTGGAAATTATATTCCACGTACTAATAATCGTACACGATGGTCTAGTGGAAATTTTGGCTCAGCATCAAATCGTTGTGCAAAGTTTTCTGTTATGGTTTGTGGTAATGAAATAGTTTATGCAATAGGAAAAGTATTTCCTCGTTTATGTTTTTAATGTACCGATTGTCAACGTCTTCTTGATCGTGGCACAGCATGTGATCATAATCGTGAAGTGTTTTGTCAAAGTAAGTAAGCTACTAACCAACCAGTAATTTTTTTAAAAGTTTTATTGCATTTCATTTCAAAATTGTTAACTATATGTTCACTTTAGACGGTGATGTACATATACATACTGTCAATGTTCAATAATTGAATACAAGAAGCGTTTCTCTGTTGAGATATCTTACTCGTTAGCCACAACCACTGTGACTACCTTGGCGTGGTGGTCGGGCTTGCCTATCATGATGATGACCCAACTGAGCTATACTGGATGGAACTTATGTTCCTTAAGGTTCTACCATGCCAGACAGGTCGATTGGAGAACGATGAGACTAAATGCAGCTAATCAAGGTGTGAGGGCGAAGTCGTACTGCTGACTGACTGCAGAGGGGTGTGACAGCAGCAGTAAGGTGTTTCCCTCGGACAATCAGCATCTGCAACGATGCTGCCTTCTCACAAGGAAGAAAGGGTCAGAAAAGGTCGGACCTAAAAATGTCACACCTCACTCTACTTCAAGGATTTCCGTCTCCGGTGGTAAGGGTGCCCACTAAGGGCTTTCAAGAGCGGAGCAAATACTCAAAAAACCTTTCATAAAAAGGCCGTGCGTGACCGGCCTCAAGCAGTTGTCCCTTGGGCTCTGCGGTCACGCTCCCAGGTCTCTAAGATCAACACTAATCTACCTTCTTTTTCAGGTCCCTCAAGAAACAACCTTCCACGGTGTGGGCAGCCGGGAAGTGACAACCGCCCTCATACCCGTAACAGCACGAGAGACCGAATCGGTCAAAATCAAATCCTTCCTTACAGCCACTGTAGTATATAAAAGAGACTTTATACTCTCTGTATGATTCAAACCCACTCATCGATCAATGTCATACTCTTAGTCAGTTAGTCAGTTAAAATGTAGAATGTCACACGTGTAGGATCCAAACTGAGAAATGACTGTCCAGGTAGTTTAGATACGCGTCTTTCCTAGTCAAAATCCAAAACCTGAGTTTGGATCCTACAGTTCTAAACAATATTACTACAGCTATTCCACCAACCATTGTTGAATTATTCAAATAAATGATATTCTCTACCTCCTGGACAGATGAGATTCGTTCGACAGATGATATTTGTTTATTTTATAACACAGACTGTTTCCTATTCTGGAAGGCTGCTTCAATTCACAATCAAATTGCACAATTCTAGTCCGTACAAGCAATCCAATCAAAAGAGGAACAAATCAATATGGCTGTCGCCATGACTAAGTATCAGCTTAAACAACATAATAAATGCAGTTCAGAAAGAAACATAGAAACTCAGTGAAGGCAGAAGAAATAGAAACTATAATAAAATACAAATATTATCATCTCAAAATGGAATTGAACAGATTAACAAAATGTCTTGAAGGAATCAATAAGGACATATTACAAATGTGTACATGTAGGGATTTTCACAATAAGTACGTACGTAAGTACATCAGTTCAAGTTGCCATACCACTTTAACACACAAAAGGGTGGGGTTGTCAATTCAACTTCCATAGTAGTAGAAGTATTAGCAGTAATCGAGAAGATTATGGTTCAAGAAGTATGATCTAGTGAAATAAACTTAAAAATACAAAGAGAGAGATGATGCAGAATCCAGAGGATTAAGATTTGAGAGAAGACAAAGAATGGATGCACTGGCGCCGTTGCAAACGATTTGAAGGCACGTTGTTAAAGGTTTCTAACCATCGGTCGCTATTATCTCGCCGACTCCAACCAGTTAGCCTACACCTACCAGCCTGGCTCATTCCAGTTATCAGTGACTTGGCGGATTTGTGCCATATTTTGGTCTGGCCGCTCTTGGCTTTCTTCCAACCTACTCCTATACCAGGCATCATCGCTCGTCAAGGCAGTCAGTGGTTAGCCATACGCAACACATGTCTCAACCACCTCAACTGATGAAGGCTCACTACTTCATAACCTCATCATTGCTTACTTGATTGTCCCATGATAAACGGACAATGCTTCGGAGAAACCTATGATCGGAAACCAGTAACCTACGAATATCCTCTACTCTTATTGGCCATGTTTAACACCCATTTAGTAGGACAGAGTGAAAGGCTACTCTGTAGACTCATCCTTCTTTGTTCCGCAGACAAATATCTTGACTAGGCCATAAATGCCACAAGTTGATAAAAGCCTGTCAAGCCTTCAGTATCCATGACGAGATCTCGTCCGACTTAAGGCACAGTCAACATACTCTACTACTTCACTGCTTATCATCACACTAGTTCAGGTGTTGATACAAGTCAACCCTTAAAAAAAAACTCGTCACACTCTTAGATAAGTCGATAAGTCATGTTTCATTGTGATTTTACCCGTTTAAGAGGATCGGATCATTTAAAAAATAAAACAGTTTAAATGCGACTTTTAAAACATTCGGTCAGTTGGTAAATTTTTTTAACAAAGGAAATAAATAAAAAGGTTTATTTTATACTTGTTGAAAATAATCGATTTTTTTCTCACTGTGATGAAAAAAATTTGATTAGCTAACCTAATTTAATTACTTAATCAGAAATTTTGTACGTTAGTTGGGCTCTGATCATAGTTACGTTAACTTCGTACGTAAGTACATCAGTTCATGTTGCCATACCACATCAGCAAGCACAGAGATATAATTGTCAATTCAAATCCAATCGTAGTAGAAGAGGTAGTAAAGGTATTAGAAGTAATCGGAGAGGTTAGGATTAGAAGATATTATTCAGGAAGTATGATTTAGTGAGAAAAATTTAGAAAGTCAACACTAGAGGGGTTGAAGAAAGAGTGCATATTAGTAAAGTGATGAGGTTCAAAAAACACAGCCATGAAGGATTTTTAGCCTCATTCTTAATTAGTCAGAAAATAACACTTGTGAATGGTATCCTTGATATGAATTTCATTGAAATCGTGAATTGATCAATGTTAAACCATCACACGACCGGTCCTGGAACACAGACACACATTTAGGCGTCCTACAATAGTCTGTGTTCCTGGACCTAAAAGCGACATTTGACTCAGTGGATCGTGAGGTTCTGTGGCAGTGTCTGTCATTGAAAGGTGTACCAAAGAAGTACATTAACCTTATACAAGCTCTCTATTCGAACACATTAGATCGAGTGAGAGCCTATGGCGAACTGTCACCGGAATTCTTTACTCCAAGTGGTGTCCGTCAGCCATGTCCACTTACTCCCAATTCTTGTTTAACTTTGTTGTAGACATCCTCTTAGAGTTAACATTAAGCTGGTCAGATTTTTCAGTGGTTGACCTCCTACCAGGAAAGTCCCTCACTGATCTAGAATATGCCGATGACATAGTTCTATTCGCTGAAGACGCTGACAAAATGCAGAGTCTTCTGACTACCATAAGCAACAATGCAAGCATGTTCGAGATGCGGTTCTCAACCTCGAAATGCAAAATTTTGCTTCAAGATTGGGTTGCATCGGCACCTGAACTAGTGATAGGGAGTGAAGTAGTTGAACGTGTAGACCGCTTCACTTATCTTGGGAGTCTCATCAGTGCCGATGGCCTGGTGAATGACGAAATCTCAGCTCGGATACAGAAAGCTCGATTGGCTTTTGCCAACCTGCGTCACTTATGGCGTAGGTGAGATATTCATTTGCTGACTAAAGGTCGAGTGTACTGCGCAGAAGTTCGATCTGTCCTACTATACGGATGCGAAACATGGACGTTAAGAGTAGGGGTATTTCGTAGGTTACTAGTATTCGATCATCGATGTCTCAAAAGCATTGCTCGTGTATCATGGAACAACCGTATGAGCAATGCTGTCGTTAGGAACGAGTTCTAGGTAGGGATGGTAAATCAATAGATGAAGCATTGAAACTTTACCAGTTGAGGTGGTTGGGACATGTGTTACGTATGCCTAACCACCGACTGCAGCGACGAGCTATGTTTTGCAGTGTAGGAGTAGATTGGAAGAAAGCTAGGGGTGGCCAAACCAAAACATGGCAGAAATCCATGAAGTCACTGACAAGTGGACTGAGTCATGTTGGTAGATGTAGGCTACCTGGTTGGAGTCCGCGAGACGATAGTCACCGATTGTTAAAGACCTTGAACGACATGGCTCAAAATCGTTTGCAATGGCACAGGTGCATCCACTCATTGTGTGTTTATTTCCAACCTTCTGAATTCCTTATGATCTCTATCTTTCTCCTTCTAAATTTATCTTACTGAATTATACTTCTCGAATCATATCTTCGCTCCCTAATCTTCTCCATTACTGCTAATATTTCTACTATCGCTATCACTGTTGGATTTGAACTGACAGTTGCGTCTGTGTGCTAATATGCTATGGCAGAATGAACTGATGTACTTACGTACGAAGTTCTGCGTTTTATCTGTATGTCTGTTAAGCCATCATCATTAACATGTAAGCATTGGACGGCCGTTTTTTTCCTTACTATGCTACTCATCAACAGTGCGCATTCACAATCCCCACACCCATGACCTTCGGTATCGCTCACGAACGCTTAACCTCTTGACCAATGAGCCAACATCCAATTGTGTTAATGTCTAACTTTAGACAATCCACAATATTTCTCTACCACATTCATTGTCTTCGGAAGCTAACTGCCTCACATCGAACAGGGTTGAACTTTGCATGAATACCGATTGTCTGTTTCTTCATGCTCTTACAAGGGTTGGGATTTGAGGTTGAGAGTGATTGATGGTTTTCACCACAATATAATACCAACTATACTATACACCAATGCTTCTTAGTCATATGGATCGATGCGATAGACACACGCAAAAAAACGTTTAACGGACATTGTATGATTGATTTATGCATAAAATATATTCCTAATTGGTTTGGCGGTTCGTTTTAGGATCAACGGTTTAAGTTTAGGATTTAGGGATAATTTCAGTAAGGAAGCATTAAGCTTTTAAAGTTCATTTTTAACGTGCCGAGTGACAGCAAAAATAGAAATCGTTTAC